ATATCCTCTATACATGGCCCATTAAAATGGCTAAAATTTAAAAGACTGACAATACTAGGTGTTAACAAGGATATGGAGCAACCAGAACTCTCATACATTGCGGGTAGGAATTTGAAAGGATCAACCACTTTGGAAAACTATTGGGTAGTTTTTTTGTTTTTGTTTTTATTGAAGTGTAGTTGATTTATGGTGTTAGTTTCAGGTGTACAGCAAAGTGATTCAGTTATACATATATATACAGCTTCTTAAAAAGTTAAATATATCCTACCATATGACCCAGCCATTCTACTCCTAGGTATTTACCAGAAAGAAACAAAAACATATATTCATAAAAAGGTGCATGTAAATGTCCAAATAATGAAAATGATGCAAAAAAGAAGAGTATATTTATATGAAATTAAATTCCATGAAGTATATCTATATTATTAACTGCAGTGGACACTGTCAGTGCCCTGCCCATATCTCTTGAACCTTTCAGTGCTCTTCTACTGACTTCTACCTCCTACTATTTGCATCTCTGTGCTAGAGGAATCTTTTCCCTGGAACTGCAGACAGCAGCAATCCCTACCACATGGCAGGCTAGAAGTGCCAAGGAATTTACACTGTCTGGGAGCAGCACTTAGTCAATGACTCTTGGGAGTTGATGCCCAGCTCCCTCACTCCTTGAGTGAAGAATTCTGAGGCATGCATTTTAAACCATTTCTCAGAGTTCCTTCATGGGACTACGCTCCAGTTGCCCACTGTAATGGTACAACTGTTATTGGCTGCCTTTGTCTCCCTATATCTGGGCTGCTTCCACTTCCCAAATAAACTACCTGCACTAGTATCTTTGATTCAATGCCTGCTTCTGTGAGAACTAAGACACTAACATACATGTGATATTTTATTTATATTAATGTTGATCTCAAAAATACCACTGAATGAAAAAAGCAAGTTCAATGTATGATACGGTGTCATCTATGTAAAATTTAAAATTAATGTAAAAATAATAAATATAATTCATATATGCATAACATTACAGTATAAATAATATATTTGAAATACGATTTTTTCTTTTTTAAAAGGTAAAGTTTTAAAAATTGTCAATTTTGCAGTTGAAAATATGGTTGTTATAATCATTTATAATTGTCTAAATTTAATTCTTAAAATTAACTAAAATTTTAAAATGATATTGTTACATATAAATGCACTTCTGAAGGCACATATTATGTAACAAAATTAGGAAGCTGAAGTTGTATGGTTAGAGTGATTTCTTTTTTCTAACATCTAACTATAAACATTTTTTAATATATAGAAAAGTTGGAAGATTTGTACTATGAACTCATATATACCAGCTAGATCCTTCAATTGGCATTTTACTGTATTTGCTTTATCACATAGCCATTCATCTACCCATCTTACATTTTTATGCATTTCAGGATAAATCAATATACTTGACTCCCTAAACATTTTAGCATGTACATTGTTAATTAGTGTTCAATATATATTTCTAATTTTTGAGTGAAATTTACCTACAAAGAAAAGCACAAATCTCAAATGTACAATTAGATGATTTTGAAAAATACATCCACTATGTAACCCAGATCCCTATCAAAATATTAAAATAGGGAGCACTACCATCACCACAGAAAGTACCCTTGTGCCTCTTTTCCAGTCAATCCTTCCTCCTCTGAGGTAAGTACAGTTCTGCTTTTTTTCCATGGTAGATCAGTTTTGCCTATTCTAGAACATCATATAAATGGAATCTTACAAAATATTTTATTTGTGTAAGGTTACTTTCAGACAGTGTAATATTTTTTGAGGTTTATCCAAGTTACTGCATTACTGTAGTTCATTCTATATTCCATTCTTCATTCAGTTTTGTGGTTTTTTTTGACACTCCTTTCTAGCGATGTACTTCTGGGCTTTTATCAATTAAAGGCGACTTTGACTAAAGCTTGAATAAAGTTGGTGAATATTCTTATACAAGTATTTTTGTGGGCATATGTTTTCATTTGAAGGAGATGGTGAATTCAAAGAGAAGAATTTCAGACTCATCAGATAGATGTATCTTTAGTTTTATTTAAAAAAACTATCAGATGTTTTTTTGAAGTGGCTGTAGCATTTTAAGCTCTCATTAGTTTACATGAGGTTCCAGTTGCCTTCCTTTCTCACCAAGATTTGATGTCATCAGTCTTTTTCATTTGAGCTAATCTAGTGTACCGGTATCTCACTGTGGTTCTGATTTGCATTTCTCTTATGACTCATAATGTTGAGCACTTTCTCATCTCCTTATTGGCCATTTGTGTATCTTTCCTTGTAAAGTGTCTGTTCAAACCTTTTGGCCGTTTTTGATTAGATTGTTTGTCCTTCTACTATTGACTTAGAGGTCTTCTTTACATAGCTTGGACAGCAGTCCTTGTGTCACAGATTTTTTTAGTATTTTCTGCCTGTGGCTTACCTATTCATTTTCTTAATAACATCTTTAGATGAGCAGAAGTTTTTAATTTTGATGAAGTCTAAAGCATCAATTTTTGTTCTTTTGTAGTTCTTACTTCTGTAAGAGAAAACTTCTTCTATTCGAGAAACCTTCATTTACTATCAGTTCATGAAGATATCTTCCTGTTTATTCTTTTATTATTTCAGCTTATATATTTAGCTCTGATTTATCTTGAATTAATTTTTATGTACAGTGTAATATAGGAGTTGAAGTATGTTTTCCTATATGGGTATCCAGTTGTTCCAGATCAATTTGTTGAAAGACTTCCTTTTTCCCATTGAATTTTTTTTGGTGCTTTGTCAAAAGTGAAATGATCATAACAACAGGGGTCTATTTCGTTCCCTTGATCTATTGTTGCTCTATAAGCCACTATTACATTGATTTGATTACTGTGACTTACTAATAAATCTCAGAGTCAGGTGATGCTAATTCTCCATTATTATTAGATTTTTATATAGCTTTTTAAATTTATTTCTTAGCGCTTGCTCTAGGAATTATACATCCTTAACTTCTTAGTCTACATAGAATGAATATTGCACCATGTCACATAAAATACAGAAATTGTGCAACCGTATGGGTCTATTACCCCTTCCCTCTGTCCTTTATGCTCTAGTTGTCATATGTTAAATCAACATAGTTCGTAACACCCAAAATATCATAATTCTTAATTTAAATGAGCATAGAAATGTTTCTAATTCAAATGAAAAAAAGAGTCTTTCATATTTACTGATATTTATCACCTACGGTACATTTTAATCCTTTCCTGGGGCTCTGTTCATTTTTTTTGATGTTTATCTCTTTTCTTCAAATTGAATAATATCTATTGATTTAACTTAAAGTTCATTGATTCTTTTATAATTGCAATATGCTATAAAAGACTATCCATTAAATTTTTATTTCAGATATTGTATTTTTAAATTCTTGAATTTATAATTTTTAATTGTGTCTTGCTGAGATTTTCTATCATTCCTTACTAGCTTATTTTCCTCTATGTCACTGAACATATTTAACAGCTGATTAGAAATCCTAGCCAGCTAATTATATCATCTGGTCCAATTCAGGGTTGGTCTCTATTGACTGCCTACTCTTTTGAGTATGAGTCATTTTCCTGTTTCTTCCTAAATCAAGTAGTTTTGGACTGTATCCTGAACACTGTGGCTGTTATGTTATGGAGACACTGGACTCTGTTATGTTCCTCTACCCTACTGATTGTTTTTTTTGGGGGGGGTATTGTTTGGTTTTAACAAGTAGTTAGCTTGGCTGAACCTAAATACTAAAGACTGTTTCCCCTAGGGTAGGTGGTAGGTAATATCACGCACTTTAGCCATAGATGGGCTGCTTAGAGTGTTCCCTGTACACATGTATTTCAGGGACAAGCCAGAGATTCAGGAAGACTTTATATGCAAAATTTGAGCTCTCCCTTTATTATTATCTCTTTTCTAGGATATGCTCTCTCTTCTCAAAGATGGGGCTGCTTTGACCTCTGTCCTCCAGTCTTCAAGCCAAAAAGACTACAGATTTCTAGCAAAGTTTTAGCTTCCCTGCATGGAATAGACTATATCCTGCCCTCAATCTAACAGCCTTAAAAAAAACCCCAAAACCAAACAAACAACAACAACAAAAATAACCCAAGGAATTCACCCAGCACTATTCCCTTCCTTCAATTAAAAAAAACTAGTAGACTATTTTTAGATCAGTTTTAGGTTCACAGTAAAATTAAGCAGAAAGTACAGAGAACTCTCAGGTAATCCCTGCCCGCCATACATGCATAGTTTCCCCAACCACCAACATTCCGCACCAGAGTTGTAAGTTTGTTATAATAAATAAACCTACATTGATGCATTGTCACCCCTATATTCGATAGGTTTTCACAAACGTATAAACACACGTACCCACTATTACAGTATCATACAAAAGTAGTTTCACTGCCCTGAAATCCTCCATGCTCTAACTATTCATCCTTTTTGCCTACCCTGACAACCACTGATCTCTTACTGTTTCCATAGTTTCACTTTTCCAGAATGTCATATAGTTGGAATGGTCCAGTAAATAGACTTTTCCAATTGGCTTTTTTAAAATTAGTAATATGCCTTCTTTTGATTTTTGACGTTCCCTCTATTATGTACTTGGTTTTGGTCACTCTCCAGTGTTTTTAGGTAGTTATTTTGTCCAGAATTTATAGTTGTTATCTGTAATCTGGGAAATCTTATTTAAATAGAGCTACTCAGCCATTAACAGAAGAAAAAGTTTTAAAATACAAAAATCTGTACATTTAACAGGAATAACCAGACTTCTGGCCACAGTTCAAGATAGATGTTTCAGAGCTTATCTTAGATCAGGCCTATGATTATTGAATTTCAGGGTTGAAACAGATCTTAATGGTCATCTAGTCTACCAACCAATAACAGCTTTAAAAATTAATCATAATTCCCATTACATAAAACAAAATATTATTATTTCATTATTTATGGTGCACCATTTCCCAAAAAGGACAATTATGTTCTAAATATATGTAACAAACCTGTCAAAGCCGTTTCACTTATGGATTTAATTTGTAGAAGAACTTCTCCTTTCAGTGAAGTCCAGTTTTGAAAATTATCATATACTTCATTTTTAATACTGGTTAGCTCTCTTTTAGTAAAAGTAAATAATGAAAGAGTCTTATTCCAGAAATGTTTGTACTCCGTCAGTCTCTGACTGTAAAGTAGTAGAGAAAAATTAGGATTTTAAAAAATAGCAGCCATAGTAACACATATTTATTTGAAAAAAAGGTTTTTTTTGAAAAATGCTTTTAGAGTAACCACCTAATCTACTGTTTAAATGGAGAAGTTTTGAAAGTGAAAGGAGTTGCAATCTGTATTATGCTGAGATGATAGATATAAACTGGGGATACCCCAGGAAGACTGAGGTCACCCCAATTCATTCCATTGTGTTATTGTTTTTACTATAAAGTTTTTACTATAAAGATAGCTAACTATTTTCATACACATTTTTTCTTTTGATCTTTTAAAATTAATTTAACAGCAAGCATTTAGTGAAGAAAATTTGGTCAAAAGTTACTTAGTCACAGAGCCTAAAAGAGAATCTCAGATTCTCAGACAGCATCTTCCTGTACCATGGCTCAACAGGCAGTGTAAAGCCTGCGGTAACAGTAAATAAAACCTTTTAAAATGACTGATCCAGTGCTTTCACTTCAAATGTCACAGCTTAAAGTAACCACATATTTTTTTTTTGCCACCTCAATGATTTTTATTACTTCAGATGTTCTGGCTATAATTTACTTAGTAACCAAGCAAGATGCAGACATAGATCTGAGCATTATCAACAAAAAGATAATGACTGAGGCCATGGGAGATAATTTGTTTGGTTAATATTTATCTCCCTGAGTAGACTAAGATCTATGATGCAGAGACTATATCTGTCTTGTTCATCACGGTCTCCCAAGACCTAGCACAGTATCCACCACATAATATGTACTCAGCAAATACTGACAAATGAATGAATGAGTGAAAAAACAGATCATTCATTGGTATGAAGTAAGAAGTACTAAGGATAAAATACTGGACAATACTAATGTTTATGAGACTAAAACAGAAGAGAATCCCTCAAAAGGCCAAGGAGGAGCAATCAGTAAGTCAGAATAAAAGCCAAAAGAATAACTTCTGAAAAGCCAGGGGATAAGAGAATTTAAAGAAGAAAGTAATGGTCTGTGTTTAAGACCTCCGATAAAGGCTGAACAGAGTCCATTGTATATGGTATTAAGGAGGCCTTTGGTGATCTTAAAGAGAGGCATTGGGCAGGAAAAGACTGAGCAGTAAAGCAGAAGTGAGAAAATAGTTATGTGGTAGAAGCATTCAAGAAATCTGAGGTGGCAAGGAGAGAAAGAGGAAGATGCATAGTAGAATGGTTTGTTAGGAATGGAGACACCTGGGTGAGACACACAGCTGAGAAGACAGTCTGAGTGCAGTGACAGAGCCTAAAAATAGACAAGAGATGGGACCATTTCTTGTGCAAAGACCTAGAAAAGGCAGATGTAAAGCAAAGGCTGAAAAAATTAGCCTTTGCCAGGAAGAAGAATGGTGGTGTCATTCTGTGTCGTCATTAATAAGGTCTACCTGAGTGACCAGAAGCCACAGGGGATCCTCAATCAGCATGCAGACCTGGAAGCTAAGAGAGATGTTGATTTCAGAAATCAAAGAGAGCAAAACAGATCACTAAAGCAAGGGGACCAACCATGAGGATGGGAAGTCAGAATGTGAAGCCAGGAACTGGTAAGACAGAGAGACAAGAACCATGAACTAAGTCAAGGTTAAGGGGCTAATGGGCCCAACGTAAGGTAGCTGCTTGGAGCAAGCCATGTACATGGGGGTCAAGGCTTGGAGGTATATTTAATAGAAGAAAGACTGGATATGGATGCATGTGCTTCCGTAGGGAAAAAGGCAGGAAACAGAAAATTCAAGCTTGTTAGCTAAAAGCAGATCCCCACCACATTTTGTGCGGCCTAGATCTCATATGATAGGTGTGGATAGACAGGTGGCTTTCTTGTAAAAAAGAATACAAAAGTTGTAACTACAAAACCAGGTTTAAAAGTGTGCAATTATTTATAGAATGAAAAAAATCACTACAAATAAAATTGTGAAAGTTAATAAATCCCATCAATATCACAAAATACAGAAAAACAATATAACTATTAATAAATAACAGCTCTGCATTACTTTTTTGTCTACAATTTTTAGCTATGTGCTCTACAAGCACCTTTTCATATGAGAACCATTTTATAAAAATACTTTATGTGGAGAGAATATAAAAATTATGCAGTTTTTATCTAGCATGGCCATTAGTTTTATTATCCGTGATATTTAGAAAGATTCTTTCAACTTCATAGCCCATTATTGGTAATATCATACAGATATTAAAAATTGTCAAATTTGGAAAACTCCTTATGAAAAAATTTTAATATACAACTATAAGATTTTTGGCATTTCAAGTTTTCTTGGAAAATGACATCCTAAAGTGTCTTTGAAATGATGAAATTCATGAACCAGATGAACACTCAGATGTCCTTGAAGTGTTATACTATGATTTTTATGTCATATTCAGTAATGTTAGTAGTTTTGTCAAATCAGCAAGAAACTTAAACCTTTCTCCAGTATATTCAAATAATCAACTCCACTTCATTGAATGGATTACAAAATAATCCAAGAGATTTTATTGAGAATGTATCTCATATAATGAAATCTGAAAAAAGTTACAAAATTTTTACAGTTACAATTAAACCATCTTACTTTTGCCAGGGGCCTTCCTAGAATCTTGGAAGGGGGTCCTGAGTGAGGGGTTCTAAAACTCAAGTATCACTTAATTTACAGTAAATATGCCTGTGTTGATAACTTTAACTCTGTGAAATATAAGGCAAATATAACACAGCTGCTGAGAGATGAGTAGCACAGGGGATTCTAAGCAAAATAATGAGGATTTAGAATAGTATTGGAGGAACTGAGGACCTGGTGTGTAACAACCTGTAAGTAGGTATGACGATTGAGGGTTTTAAGGGTAATATAATTAAATGAGCAGAGGTAAAAGTAGCTGGAATATTGGTAGTCTATGCAGAAACATCCTCTATGTAGAAAATCCTAAAGAATAACACACACACACACACACACACACACACACACAAATACTAGAACTAATAAATTGAGTTCACCAAGGTAACAGAAAAATAAACCATAGCAAAAATCAATATTATGTCTGTATACTAGCAATGACCAATCCCAAAAATAAAATTAAGAAAAAATCCACTCATAATAACATCAAAAAGAATAAAATATTTAGAAATAAACTTAATAAAAGGAGTGTAAGACTTATATACTAAAAACAAAACATTTCGAAGAGAACTAAAGATCTCAATGGAAAAACATCTCATGTTCATGGATGTAAAAATTCAACATTTTAAGATGGCAATTCTCCCCAAATTGATCTATAGATTTAATGCTATACCTACCAAAATCCCAGTAGGCTATTTGTCAGAAATTGACAAACGGATCCTAAAATCCATTTGAAAATACAAAGGAGCCAGAATAGCCAAAACAAATTTGAAAACAAAGAAATTTAGAGGGCTTACATTTCTTGATTTCAAAATTTCCTAAAAATTACACTATTTAAGAGTATATGCTAATGACAGTAAGAATAGATATGTAGATAAATAGAATAGACTAGTATAGAGAGTCCAGAAATAATCCCTTACATTCATGGCGAACTGATTATAGGTAAAGGGGCCAAGGCAATTAAATAGGGAAAAACTGTCTTTTTAACAAATGGTTCTAGAACAATGGAATATTCATATGAAAAAGATGAATTTAGATCCTTACCTAACATCATTCACAAAAGTTAACTCAAAATGGATCATAGACTTAAATGTAAGAGCTAAAACTATAAAATCTTTAGAAGAAGCCACTGAAAAAACTCTATGTGATTTTTGGTTAGGCAGAGTTCTTAGATACATTTCCAAAAGCACAATCCATAAAAGAAAACATTGATTAAATTGTATTTCACTAAAAATAACAACTTTTGTTCTTTAAAATACACCATTAAGAAAATGAAAAGAAATTCCACAGACTGGGAGAAAATATTTGCAAATCATATTTCAAATAAAGGACTTGTACCTAGAACATACGAATAACTCTTAAAATCTAATAACATAAAAACAAATTGAAAAACAGACAAAATATTTTAATAGATATTTCACCAAATAACCATACAAATGGTTAATAAGCACATGAAAAGACACTTAACACCATTAGTCCTTTGGGAAACACAAATCAAAGCACAATGAGGTAGGATTTCACAGCCTCTAGAATGGCTAAAATTAAAGACAGACAATAAGAACTGTTAGCAAGAACACAGTTGAAACTAGAATCCTCATTCCTGGTAAGAAAGCAAAATGGTGCAAGCACTTTGGAAAATAGTTTGGCAGTTTCTTAAAAGTTAAATATGAATTTACCATATGATTCAGTAATTCTACACTTAGGTATCTACCCAAAAGAAATGAAACATACATGCACACAAAGACTTGTATGTGAATATTTATAGCACTATTATTTATAAGTGCCAACAAGTGGAAACAATCCAAAAGTCCATCAATTGGTAAATACATAAATAAAATGTAGTATATCCATACAATGGAATACTATTTAGAAATAAAAAGGAACAAAGTACTGATGCATGATACAACATGAATGAACCTCAAAAACATCAGTAAAAGAAGCCAGATATAAAAGACCACATATCGTATGATTCCATATATCTAAACCGTCCAGAAAAATACAAACCTATAGAAACAAAGATCAGTGGCTGCCTAGGAATACTGGTGGTAAAAATAGAGATTGATTGCAAATAGCATGAGGATCTTTTGGGGATGATTCAAATGTCCTAACATTGGATGTGATAAAGGTTGCACAACTCAGTATGTTTACTAAAAACCATTACACTGTCCACTTAAACTGGGTGGATTTTGTAAGATGTAATTTATATTTCAATACAGCTATTTGAAAAAAGATATGAGGTTATTAACTATGGGATCAAGGCTAGAAACAAAGTAAAGTCAGGAAATTGTTGGGAAAATTAGAATACCAGAAGCCTTAATGCGGCTGAAGAGCTGAAGTGAAAAGTGACAGAGCTAGAAGGAGAGATTTAAGGAGTTGGCATTGAAAATTTCAGAGATGATAGAGTCTGGATTTACAAATAAGAAAAACTAAAGGATAAGTATAATTCAAACAATTCATGAAAGATTCACAGTAGGAATTCTGTAAAAGCAAGCACTACTAAAATGTTTCAAACATGGATTGATTTGGAATATTGGATTTATATGCAACATTACATAAAGCATATCTATACTCCATACTGTTTTTAGTATCTATTTTACAGGTCTTCAAAAGTTAATTTCCATTCTCAAAAGACACTTTACTTGGAATAGCAGATATGCCGAGCCAACTGAGGCATATCACAGCTACTCCTCACCACTCCCTTACAAGCGACAGGCTGGAAATGATGTCAGGGAAAACACAGAGCATGAAGAACACTTCGCTGGAGGGTAGGTGATTAAGCCCAATTGCAATTAAACAAATGAGAGAATAATTTAAAAAGGGCAATGTGACTCAAAGACATAGTTCATTGATCTCTTGAAAGTTCCTTTTGGGCTCCATAAATAAAGATGATTACATCTGAGTAGGTAAAGCTCATGCTTCTTTTTTATTACCACTGTGAGATTATAAGCTCCTTTTCTTTACCCATAGTAAACTTGAAGTTTTATGTTCTACTAGATATTTTTTAAAAATAACCAGTAAACTAGTTTAAAATTTACTATTGCAGCAAAATTACTGAATTCTACAACTTTGAGTTTGATTTTATTTTCATCATATTGCCTTTTCCTACGCTATGTACCTACTAGTGAGAGTATGAATAAAACCAGGAATTATTTTTATTCATCTATCAAAAACTTTTATTTATACTAAGTGTCTAGTTAGATGATTATTTACAAAATTGTTTTTAGTAAGTGCTAGTTTTTTATATAAATCAGACCCTGAACTCCCAATTTGTGATTTTTTAGCTAAAAATAGAAACCACAGATCTAGTGAAAACATTTGAAAAAAATTAGCAGTAAAAGTATAATGCAAAATGATGACAAAATTAGAACATAGAATAAAATAACATTTAAATATATCTAAGTTTCTTCAAGAATTTGAAATACTATAAATCAAATGTAAAATACGAATAATAAAAACTGATTGTATCAGTCCATAATATCCTGAAGCAGCACTGATTATTTAATCTAGTCCTGGCCTAAGCTTTAAAATTTAGTCAGTTCTGCCATCCATAATGGCATCTGTGGGTAAAACAAATGGGACTTCCTTAGCAGACCTGGGCCAAAGCTGTTGTTGGAGCCAAGATTGAACACTGATGGTCTTGACTGAAATGGAGAGTTGGGGTCATCTGGGTGGTATCCTGCTGGTTCAATACTAGAGGGGTTCTAGGAAAGGGCAGGGAATCTTTATAATGATAAAAAATTGTCATGTTTTTTATGAGTAGATTCATTCATTCATTCAAAAATTATTTATTCAGCATCAGTTATGTGCAGGACATTAAAGAAAGGTAGATGGCCAACAGGTTATCACCAGATATTGTATAAAGATTATTAGCCCATTTAATTTTTTAATAGAACAATATCCCTGATAATAACTAGTAGATTGGGAAAAATAAGAACCTAACATTCATAATACTCACCTGGTATATTTTTTTTTAGTCACCCAGAACCTATGTCTATTTTCATTTAACCTATTTCCCTTTTCTAGGAGCTAAAAGTTACTCAACTGGAAAATTAATCATTCTAAGACAAACAAACTTATTTACGAAACAGAAACAGACTCACAGACATAGAAAACAAACTTATGGTTACCAGAGGGGTAAGGGGTGGGAAGAGATAAACTGGGAGTTCAAGATTTGTAGATACTAACTACTATAAAATAGATAAACAACAAGTTCCTACTGTATAGCAGAGGGAACTATATTCAATATCTTGTAGTAACTTACAGTGAAAAAGAATATGAAGAAGAATATATGTATGTTCATGTATGACTGAAACATTATGCTGTACACCAGAAATTGACACATTGTAACTGACTATTCTTCAATAAAAAAAAATTTTAAAAAAAGAGACAGTCATTCTGTCTGATATTCTCAATATATTCAATTCCAAAAAAAAAATATTCAATTCCATTTTTAAAAAGTACTATTTTCTTTAGAACATTGGGTTTTACCTCCAGGTATTTTGAGCCCTCCAAAGATATATAAAAGCAGAATTAACACCATTTATGTTAAAAATTACTAAATTTAGGAGGTCTAGTACTATCCAGATAGAAAAGTTTCCCTATTCTATTTTTTTCATGTCACTGGACTATCAGTCAGAAGATCAAATACACCGAGAAATACTGGTCAAGAGGAAAATGAATTAGTTACTGTGCTGTCATTCTAAATGTCACTGCAAAATAAGAACAAGGTGTTTGCCTGATTTAAATTTTATTGGCAAAACTATTCAGTTGAGATAATAGTTTTATTTAAAAGTGAAGTGTTTCCATTTTTTTCAACCATACTATAATACTAAACTATATAAATATAGAAATTATATTACTAAAATGTCCTTGAATGTTTATAAAGATTAATATTATATTATTATATCACTAAAATGTATTTGAATGTCTATACCGTTAGTATTAAATGAGCAATCTTTTCAATCTTGTAATTTTTAATTCTTTAAAGATAATCTTACCTGAAGATTTGTGATTGTCTCTGTTTAATTTTTAACTCTTGTTGCAAATGACTCAATTCTTTCTGTACTCTCTGCAATTCATTTTGGTGACTTTTTAATTGCATGCTTGCATCTCGAATTCTAAAAATATAAGCAAATAACATCCATTACAAGTCTAAATATTCCATCATGAGTACTTTAATAAATTAAAATTTAAATATACTTTTAATAAAAATAAATAAAAGAAGAAAACTATGCATCTTTACATATGCTAAATGAATGTACAGAAAAAGTATGGAGAGATACATACCAAAGAGCCACTCCCTGGGGAGGAAAGTGGAATCAACAGGCAGGAGAAAGGCAGCAAATATTGAAGGAAAGCATAACTTTCACTCTATATTCTTTGTATCGTTCAAATTTTTGCAGTGAACATGTATTTTTACTTGAAATACTAATTAAAAAGTAACTGAACAAATACCAACTTTTAACTTTTATTAAAGTAATATAGATACATAACTTTAACTGTCAAATATTACTAAAAGAGTTAAAAGAAAAAATAGCAATCATTTAACTTTACCCCAATTCTCACTGTCAAAAACAACTACTTTCAACTTTTTTCTTCTAGTATTTATCTGTATATTATTAAATAACATGCTTATACTGTTACTTCTTAAATTTTATTTTAGATACTATCTAGTGAATCACAAATCAGGTAAGATCTGGTTCTGCTACATACAACTGAGACCTGACTATGATGGCTTAAATATACAAAGGTATATTATCTTGCATAAAACAAAAGTATTGGTAGTCAGTTCAATACTGATATGATTGCTTTAGAGTGTCATCAGGGCCCCAGGATCCTTACAACTCTCTGGTCTACCATCTTTGGTGTGTGTCTGTTATTCTCATGATCAATGCATGATAATGGTAGAAATTCCACTACTTTCCCACTCCAGACCAGCAGCAGAGAAGGCGGCTCCTCTGTCCCTTTCAAGGAGACTTCCTGAAAGTGCCACTGTACACTTCTGCTGAACTAGGACACATGGCAGTATACAGCTGCAAGTGAAGCTAAGAAACGTAGTCTTTTAACTGGAAAGATCAGCCCCAGATGTGTCCATAATTCTTTTACTAAGGTGGAAGGAAGAATGTATGTTGGGGTAGGTAACCTGCAGTTCCTAACACAGTCCTAATAAGAATTAAACCTCCTATACACACCTATACACCTATACATCCACACACACACAGAGCCTTCCTTCCCTCATCCTCCCAATATAATTAAATCAATCTTTTTATCCAGTGTTCCTCACTAGTAGGCTATATATTATGTCATGATCACTTTCTTTTCTTGTACAAATTTTTTGCCATTCCTGGGTTAAAGGCCATCTCCTTTTCTTCCTTCTTAGTTTTCTGTGTACCTATCACTTCTTTCAAATCTGACAGAAGTGTAATTCTCCTCTCTCAATACCTTCAGACACAGCAGATAATCCTTCCATACCATTTCTTTTCCAGGAGGCAGCCTTCCTAGAACTCTCTGTTCCCCAGCTCCTGTCTGGTTATGCTCTGGTTTGACTGCACAACTGTCATCTTGGGACTTCCTTTCCCTATCAATTCAGAAATTGTCCTCAGCTTTCTCTCATGTCGGATCTCCTGCATCCTGGTGCTAAAGTCTTCCTCCTCCTTGGTTTATTCCTTTTGGTGGAATAAATCCTCCAGGAGCTTTTTGTGCATGGGAGGTAAATCTGAGACCTTGAATATCTAGAAGCATCTTTATTCTATTTCAGACTGAACAGTCTGGCTGGATATATAATCACAGATGAGGAAAGTATTCTTCACCAGAAAATCAGTCTCTGCTCCACTGTTTCCTAACTTCCACTGCTGCTTCTGAGAAGTCCAATGATACTCTAATTCCTACTTCTTTGTATGGTATACATGTTGGTCCTCCCCACCCCATCCCTATCACAGTTCAGAAGTTTTAAAATGTTCTCTTTTTACTTTGTATTCCTAAATTTGTATTCTTATATCACAATACATCATTATTTCAGTCTTTTGTCATTCTCTATGCTGGGCACATGGCATTTCCTTTGGAAATGGATGTTTAAAATTTTTTTTTAATTTATAATGTATTAGTTTCCGGTATACAGCATAGTGATTCAGTTATACATATGTGTGTGTGTGTGTATATATATGTATATATATATACACATACATATACACACATATATATATTCTTTTTCATTACAGGCTACTACAAGTTCTCTGTGCTATATAGTAAGACCCTGTTGTTTATCTATTCTGTACATAGTAGTTTGTATCAGCCAATCCCATGTTTTTTAGTTCCAAGAATTTCCCCCTAGGGATAAAGATTCCTTCCCCTCCATCTTTTCCGTTTTCTTTCTGGAACATCTTTCTATAATTTTGAATGTGGGAACTCCCAGAGAGATCTTATTTTCTTATCCTTTCTTTGCCATCTTACCACTTTTAACATTTTGTTCTACTTTCATTATCTTCCATCCTGCCTGTGAAATTGTTCATTTCTGCTATTATATTTTAACTACCAAGAATTCTCACTTATTCTCCAAAAGGTCCTCTTTTACTATCCCTTGTTCTTGTTTCATTGATACAATTTCTTCATTATTGTTTTGAGGATATCAATTATAATGTTTTTTTAATTTTCTTCAGCTTACTGCATTGCTTCTGTTTCCTTTGGGTTTATTTTTTTTTCTCTTTTTTGCTTTTTGTCTTTCACATTTGAGGCTTCTCTCAAAAGTCAGGAGATCCTTTATTATCCATTCATATTTAAGAATGGGGCATTTAAAGGATATCTGGTCCATTTTTTACAGGTTCATGATGACACAGGGAGAAAAGCAGGGAGAGGCTTTTCTAGATAAAAGAAGTAAGAAAAGTGACAATCAAATGCGACATACTGACTTGTATAGAGCAAGAGTCAGATGAATAAACTGCAAACATTTTTTTCTTTTTTAAGAATTGAGGAAATTTGAATATGGACTGGGAATTAGATAATACTGAGGAACTGCTATTAATTTTGGGATACTAATATTGTTGTTATATAAGAAAATGGTACATCACACTGAAGTAAATAGGGATGAAAACAGCATGCTGTCTTGGAGCTGTGTTGAATTAATTCAGAAAAAAAACAACAGGAACAGATGAAACATACGACAAAATCTTGGTAATTTTTGAATCTGTGTTAAAGGGTTATTTATTACACTATTTTCTCTTTAGAAAAGTAAGTGGATAAGGTACCGAAATACTGTCTCTAAGCTTCTGGGTGGGTGTACAGAAGTTGTTAAATGATGGGCTTCACTGTGGGGAAATCAGGTGGGGAACTAGCTGTTTTGATAGCACCTATGCCAACTGCCAGAGTCAGGGAAAGGTAAGTAGAAGACTCTGGGATGGCAGAGTGGGAGTGAAGTTCTGAAAGCCTAATGCAACTTTAAAACATTTTTAATGAATCCTACTATTTTTAGCCCCACTATGTACACTGACAAGTATTTCCTTAAGCATACTAAGAGAAACAAATCAACCAAATGTTTTCAGGAGTCACATCTTTAAAAAAAAAAAATCAAGGGGAGGGTACAGCTCAGTGGTAGAGCACCTGCTTAGCATGCACAAGGTCCTGGGTTCAATCACCAGTACCTCCATTAAAAAATAATAATAAATAAATAAACCTCATTACTCCCCCCTCCAAAAAAAAATCAACAGAGGAATGTAGGGGAAAAAAATTTAGGAAAATATATACCTGAATAGATGCTTTAAAAATGATAAAATATATACAGTAATATTAATAACTAGCAAGATATTAAATGGAACAACACTTTTATTTTGATAAAAAGCCCAATCCACCAAGAAAAAATACTAATCATGAACCTTTGTATACCCAAAACATAGCTTCAAATTATATTTTAAAAAATCTGTTAAAAATCTAATGAGAACAAATTAATAATCATAGTGAGAGGTATTAATTAACACATTTCTCACAGAAATGGAATGGTTACAATGACATGAAAAATAGTCAAAAATATTGAGGATTTGAATAACATTATTAACAAGCTTATGTATGACCATAATTGGAACTTATATCTAATAATAAGGTCTTCCAAACATATGGTATAACCATAAAAATTGACCATGTAATCAGCCACAATTGAAATTTTAATATAGTCTTAAAAAGAAAAAAATCTTCTACCCACATTCATTGCCCACAATAAAATTACATGAAAATGAACTGCAGATGTGGAAACTTCAACATACATCTAATAAACTTTGGGCCAAAGAGGAAATAAAAGTTGAACTAAAAATTATTTAGAAATAAATGATAATGGAAACACTATCTATCAAAGCATTTAGAAGAAAATTTATAGCTTTAAATACTCAATTTTAGAAAACAGTAAATGGGTATTCTGAATGTCATGATCCAAGAGAAAGAAAGGCACAAATGACAAAAAACAATGAATGTTCTGGAGCAAGGCAACCCCAGGAGCAATGAGCACACCCAAAGCCCATATCTTGGTGTCTAAGCACTATTCCCCAACAAAAGAAATCAGGGCATCTTAGAGAACTGGTTGATTCCAGGGGTGGCATAGGGAAAATTTAAGGTGAGCCTAGGACATTTTGTGGTGCCAGAAAGTAAGGAAAAGCTCAAAAGAAGATGGAGGCACGTTGAAAGAGCACAGGTGCCACCTGAAGGAGCACCAATCAGGCAAAACTGGAACAACTGAGCAACAAAATAAAAAACTATATTGGATCATGACCCACAAAAGAAAAGTGAATGAGTCCATATTGATATTAATAAATAATTAAATAGTTAAATAAATGAAAGAGAAGGAACAGCTCTTCTGTACAGAGAAATTCCAATTAACAAATGTGGAAGGAATGAAGAAAAGAAAACAGCATTAGTAAGAGCATAGTAATTAACTGTTGTAAGCAAAATCTATTGATAGCTGCTAAAAAAGTAGGTGAAAGTTTGAGAAGAAACAGAATATTTAAATATTTTCAAAGTTTCTACCCTAAGATATTTATTCATTTCAAAGGAAAAAAATAATAATTTTATGATGGAGGAACCTGCCAAACACCACCTTAGCCAAGCAGTAAGGTGAACATCATCCATAATAAGACATATT